TTCGACTTTTGCGACGAGAGCATCAAGCTAACCAGCTTCAGAGTTTCTTGATATGCACTTACATCACAAGCGCATTGCGCTTTCGCGCTCATGACTGCCACAGGTAGCTCCGCAGCTCTGCGATGTCACTGGTAAGTACATCTCCCCTCCACCTCCCCTCGTCCAATGATGATCAGATTGTGCTACGGCACGCTGGAAATTACCGACCAAGGCTTCTGCCGGTGCCGATAAACAATGGCTGTTTCTGATTTTGACCTTCAATTCCCTGCTCTTCTCAACATCGCTTGTAGCTCTCGCTAACATCTCGCGCGTTGCAGATACTATCATTCCGCGCCCCAAATGGTACGATTTCTCCCTCTCGAACCCTTCTCGAACACCATATGATGATTCCGCACTGGGCACCGACAATTCGTGACGGATACGCTCATTATGGCAGGCCTCAGAAACCTCGCCGACTGACCTCGCTCGCCAATACTGCACAATCATACAAGCGTCGCTGAGCTTCGGCTAACAACGCAATCAGTCTGTTCTCCAACAGCAGTCTGTAACATCCTCCATGGTAAGCGCACTCCTCTTGCTCACCTTCTGGGAAATGATGAACACTTGATGACGAGTCCGACGGGTTCGCCCGGTGAAGACTTAAAATCAAAATATCCATTCATGTCAACTGATCCCACTCCAATGCATACTATTTGCTTTCGCTTCACTGGTAGAAGCTTTTGCTAACTTGCTACCCAGATCCATCAGTGCTTGCCTCACTACAATCGGTACGCTCGCCGCCTATCTCCTTTCTCGATATGATGATACGACTTTATCAATGACAAGCATATGTCCAAGCTTCGGCGACGACGAGAACTGTCCTGTCTGATCCACACTATACTGTGTTGCACTATGAAGAAGGGATACAACAGCAACTGATCAGTTGCGTAGGATCTTCTACTCATGTTGCAAGCGTGATGCTATCCTCTATGGTAAGTCTTCATCCACAACCTCCACTTCCTTTACAAGATGAACATTCAATTTATCACGACGGTCTACCGAGCTACGGCAATGGTGATAACTGCCTGTGACAGGGCATGAGTCTGATCAACACCCTCGACTTGCACACATTGATTGCTTTTGGTGTATCAAACGCTAACAATGTGCTCAGATCTCAACCCTTTTCCATGATACTCGTGACCAGTAACGCCTTCATATGCCCTTGCGATGTCGCTTGGAGTCTTCCACACAATGTCTTGTAATTCCCGGGCGAATTCTCCGTAGTCCACCATGCCAGTAGCTCAGTACAATCCAATCGTAATGTCTCCACGAATCCTTGCCGTCAAGTGAATCTCTGCCTCCAAATCTAGCTTGATACCCAGGAGTAACGCCGCATCCTTGGGCTTGCCGTTGTCGTCCACTGGCCCCTTGATGATGTTGCCGGCCGGTCGGTTGAGTGTGGCTGAGGATGGGACAGGGCCAACCTTGGAAGTGGAAGACACCTTACGGCCACCGGAGGCTTGTCCATCGCTCTCAGTGTCGGAGCCGTAGGCTGTTGGGCGGATGGTGGAGTCGCTGATTGAGGTTAGCACATGTAAAACCCTTCGTACCAGTGTTGCTTACAGGGTAGACATTCTGATGGATGGTTGGAGATAACAAGAAGTCGATATTACGTATTAGGTAAGTGGTTCAAGTTGGACAGGCGCCGGGCCGTTGCTGGGTATTGGCGATGGTGGATGGTGAGGATGAGATGCAGGTCAACTGTACTGGCCTTGACGAAGTGCCATATCTCTGCCTTATAAGCAAAGTGGCCATTAGACAAGACAACAGCACACACCGTTCACCTTTGCCGTGAGTCGACGTCGCGCTGAACGCTCGAAACGGCTGTTGTGGCACTCCTGCGTCTCAAAGTCGCTGCCATCGTCCGAGTCTCGTACCAGCCTCACTACCCAAAGGGAATCAAGGGTCCAGACAAGACGATCAACCGCAGTCGCTTGAATGTTGTGGGGATGTGCTATGCCTGCCGGCGGGGCGGCTGTGACGATGAAACACACAGGGGCTGGTGAAGCTCAGGGCGACCGTCTCAGCTCGGACACTCTTGTTCTCAGTCGAGCGACCATCAGACCACCGGAGCTATCAAGCGATCCCGATTCTATGGAACCACGGTAATGCGCATAGACCATATCGAATCCCATCTGCAAGCGATAGCGAACATGGTGCATGTCCATGCCAACCTCCACCCGCAAACGCATCCCCGCGATGCAGCACACGCAAAATGGTCCTCTCAATCCTCATCGCCACAATCGTAGCCCCCGGTCTCCTCGGCTCCCAAGAAGCGATCCGGCAATCGCAATCCAAAGAGAAGCGCGAAGAACACCGTGCCCGCCGCTGCAACCTCATCGCCACATGCGTCAAGTCTTCGCATCGCAGCCGCGAAATCGACGGCCGGCAAGTCGTACTGAGAAACGGGAAGCTCTGGATCGATACCGGGACAGAAGATGGAAGTCCACTGGGTCATCCTTATGCTGGATATTACTTACCGTACCCGGATACGAGTTACGAGGGTCTTGTAACGACCATTACGGATGTGGCACCGATTATGAACTGGGTGTACGTTGATAGAGACACGGGAGAAGCGAAATACGGAGTGAGAGCTGATGCACAACCGCATCTCACAGGCCCATTCGATTGCACGCGTCAAGACCGACGGCTCACATTCGATGGCTGGGAGGGGTGGTGTGCAGTTGAACAAGCACCCGGGCTATGGGGCTTGTACTTTGATCTTGATGACGACGGCCTCAAATCTAGAGTTGCACCTGGTACGAGGGTACTAGAGATCGAACTCAGTCGCAAGGAAAAGAGGTGGAAGAAAGAGGCGGACGAGAGGATGGCGGATCAGACTACTAAGAGGGCTGTTGAGAGGGAGGAGGATGCGCCGGTTGAGAAGCCGTTAGGTGGGGAGAAGGTGGAGGTCAGACCGGGGGTCGGTGCTGCAGTGGGAGAGGGGAAGGAAGAGGGTTGGAGGCCGATGAAGATACCGAAGTCTATTTTTGAGGATCCGCCGCCGGTGGTGGAGAGTTTGGTTTTTCGATCAAGGACACCGCCGCCAGCGTATTCGCCTGCCGGAGGGGTTGATGAAGAAACCTTGGCTCCGACGAGAGGGCAAGATGATGCATCTGTTCGGATGGCTGGTGAGGGTCAGAATGACAGCCCACCAGTCATGGAAACTTCCCCGTCTCCTATCGTAACGAAACCGGTGCCAGCCGGAGCCCAGTCAACACTCGCTGAAGAGACTGGAAGCCCTTCACGTGAGGCGAACGTCCCACAGGTTCAACTACCGCCGACACTTATCGATGAGCTCGGAAGCACCCAGGAGAAATCAGACTCCACATCATCACCTGAAGAGCAATTCACATCTCCCGGCGAGAAGCGGACTACGCCCAAGCTGAACAGAAGCAGCGGCTCTCGAGCGCTAGCCCAAGCTCAGAAGTTCGAAGCCATGGCAGCAGCGCAAAAGTCTAGTCCTGAGGCTAGGCGACTATCGAGTGAACGCGGATCTCGTGCCAACAGTAACACGTCTTCTGTATACTCCAATGAAGATGCGTCACTGAGCGTGCCTGGAGTCAGTACACAGCCCCAAGATTCACCAACACCGGCCCCTCTAGCACTCGCCGTCTCCAAAGCGAAACAAGCAAAAGCACTGGCGACGCGGTCGCAGCCATCAGGAGCCACAATGTCTATATCCGACCCGTCAATCCAACGACCGGTAACACCTCCCCGCCAACGTGCACCCTCCATCCGCGAAGACCCAGCCATATCCGCAGCTCAATCTACATCAAACGGCAGACCGGTGATATCTCTACCCCGTCGACCATATCCAGATAGATCTAGTCCCCGCCCAAGCCCGAGTCCCTCATCACGACGATCAACTTCGCAGCAGTCGACACAAAGACTCACACCCGATCGCCGGCAAAGAGATCGATCCATCTCTGAACTCTCATCACCATCCTCTTCCAGAGCCGCTACATCTCATTCGTCACCGAGATCATCGTCTGCGGCGTTGGGGAGGCAGTCGCTTGCGAGGACTATGACGAGTGGGAAGGGGAACCAGGGGATGAGTGATAGGATTGGAGGGGGTCAGGGGAGGGGAAGTACGGGTGGAGTGGGTAGGAAAGCTGGTAGTAGTTCTGTGAGTAGGAAGGGTAGGGGAAATGCTGGTACCACTGGTGGAAGGAAGACTACGTCGGCGTTATTTAGGGAGATTGATGACTTGGTTGGCTTGGAGGACGAGAATGGGAAGACGAAGTGATGTAGCGTTGGAACACCATCACGAAGATGAAAGATAAAAATCAATACAAAGATTCCATCAGACATTACGGTATCTATCTTGAGGGTAGGTAGTGCTTGGTTGAGTAATCACGTTCCGTGTTGATGCCCGAAACCGATTAGGCGTCAATGCCACCTTCCATAATTCGCTCAGTGCCACCGACTTTCCTCATCTCTTTTACCACCTCACTTCTCACAGTCGCCAACATCCAGAACTCGAACGACAGTCAATCGAGATGTTACACTTTACTGCATACGACGGATCTGCCGGCTAAACCATCCGTTGCATGGCGTTGCGGACCGGCAAATGTGAAACTCGACCCACCACCGACCGACTCACTCATCGCAAATGCTTCAGGTTTCCGACACGTTTTGGCGAAATGTCACATGCCGTATTGATCACGCGATAACAAGGCGTCATGTAGCGAGAACTGTTTGATGGAGAATATGGTAATGTTAGGTGGCGCGGTAAAGTGATTGCTCGTTGCAAGCTGGGGTAACTACCTAGACATGCCTAACACTGACTGCTAACGACTGGAACTTGGCTGAGCCCTACATTTGATGGTATCATTTGCTTTTCTGTGGCATATAGTCCGTTTTCTTAATATTGTCGACTGACGCACGCGTGGCCGTTTCCGTACAGGACTGATCCGCAACTCCTACACGGCTTCTTTCTACTTTACTGAGTACCCACCATGGATGCATCGACACGGCTATACAAACGTCTGGGCGAGATACCAGAAGACCCAAACGACCCCGAAAGTCTGGACGATCTGATAGTCTGCGCATTCGGTGCTTTTGAGCGATACTACGTTTGCTGGAAGACAAAAGGAGGAGAATTTAGACAAGGTGCGCATACGTTATCCGATGAATGGGAATGTTCAATGCTGACACTTCAAAGATGGCCACGAACTCCCTCCCGCACTCAAAGACTGGCTCTACCCCACTAACGGCACTACACGAGATTTCGCATCCCTTCAAGTCGTCTTCGGCCGAGGCGAGGAATACTTCGCATCCGACAAGAACGGCAAGCTAGAGTACAAAGAGCCGGAACTGAAGAAGCCGGCGCCTACTGAGGATGAAGAGAAACTTGATCGACAGGCACTGAGACGATCGAGAACGGTGTCATTCTTGCGGCCATTGTCAGAGACGAGCATACGATCGGATGGCGGACTGAGCGATACAAATAGGAGTAAAAGATCGAGTTCAATCAGCTCGCAACGAGCGAGTCGGCCGCCGAGCTTGAGTTATACGAATTCGAGAACCAACTCGGACATTTCGCTGTTGGGGGAGACGATTGTTGAGGGGCAGATGAGGCAACCGGGACGACCTTCGTATATATCGCAGTGGACAGCTCTTGGGTCAGGTGTAGGCGATTCGGAGAAGATGGAGTCGTCGCAAAAGTCAGATCAGAGGACAGACACCGAGCCAGTGATAGAGCCAGACCGCGAGCCGGTGTCGACGAAGACGATATCTCCAGCACCAGTCGAGAGCACACCATTGCCACCATCATCACAGTCCGCCCTGAACCACGAACCCACGACATTACAACAGAGTCCTCCACCTCAATCAAGACCCACTTCAGAAACTCCCTCATGCACATGCAACTGCCACGCTACACCAAACCCCTCACCGACCCCGCAAAAACCCACCTACACTACCACCGCAACACAGACATCACCTCCCCCTACTCCTCTTCCCAGAGAAAACCCATCTTCATCCTATTGGCCATCACAAGCGAACTACACTGCCATACCTCAAGAGCCTTCCTACTACACAGACGAAGACTACGATACACCACCCGTTTTCATGGGGCGCATGTCGACGTACTTTAGCAAACCGGGGTACCAGTTGGGAGATAGCTTATTCAGTGGGTATCAGCCGATTGATTGGGGGAGTGGGTATGAAGAAGTGGAGGTGGAGGGGGATGGTTAGGGTGAAGAGAAGGCGAGCCGAGTACTTTATTGAAGGGAAAGGCTAAACACCGATGGGTCTACCATGACGCTACGTCTTCTTGTTTGCTGTTCTAGTGTAGGCTGCAGGCTTGTTCAGTGTCTTCCTTATATCAGGTATGAGGAGGGATGAAGGGGTTCAGTGTGTGTTGTGTACAATATTGATGCGCTTTTTTTTCCCTAATGTAGTATTGATATTCGACAGTCAACTTCTCGAATTGGTCGTTTGGGGACACTTTCCATTATCAATTGTTTCCACAACCTTCATTGGATGTTTGCCGTTGCCTCACAGAGATACGTATCGCTTTCCTCAGAGACGCATCTTCACTTCTTCTGATACATCACCTTCACGACACTCATCATCTGAATCAATCTCCTGTTCCTTTTCTACACACACGCGCACACTGGGTACACCACACCGCCAGTAAAACCGCTTTCAATGCATCGATACTCGACGAAGACCAAGCGTACACCCCTTTGTTTGCGCCATGCAGCTTACTTTTCCAGCATCGACACCGCCAGTCCCATCTATGCGACACCTACACGCGGTAAACGCGCCACCAATCCCGCCGTGCAACGTGCAACCAAAAGAAAGCTTGACCGTCACATTCCAGCGATCGACTCGCCAGCTGCATGCAGGGTGAAGCGGAAATTCTCCGCGCGTGCATGTGATTGATGACTTACATCCGAACCTTGCACCTCAGCATCGGAACAGAAGCATAACGTTGAACTAGTGTTCACAGCATATCCGGGGACTTGCTTAGCGACAGCTGATCCCCATGTCTACGCTCGGAAATGAGACGGTTATTAGCAACCGACCTCTTGGACGGGCGATGACGTCGCGTCTCGTGTTACTTGCAATCACAATCGCGAACTACCCTCACCTGGGTACTGTACGCGAAACGCAGCAATGCCAGCTGCCCGGGCATGTTCCGCCTCATTCTTTTCCTCACCAGTAGTTTGCACTCGATCCGCAGCGCAATAGATACTGTAAAAGCAGATGATTCCTCACCCCCACAACCCCCACAATACAGCCACGCGCGAACTCCAACTCGCAAAAAAAAACTGAATCATTGTCGGTGTTGGCGATCGCGATATCCAACTGGCTGTACTACCCAAAGGGGAAAAAGTCGGTGGAACGGTGGAACCTCGTTGTCTCTTCGCTTGCCTCTTGCCTCGGTTCAAAGAACGCGAAGGACAAACACGAGACGTTGACATCATTTTGAACGGGTGTCAGAGAGACGCCAGGGTCAAGGACAAGGGCAGTTTTTCAGGGTCCTGCCGAAAGGTCCGATAGAGAGCGTGTGCGACAGGTGCGACAGCAGACAGACAGCGATACCGACGGCCGATGCCGAAGGTAGGGGATTCAGGGATCGACGATCTTGCCTTGTCTGAAGGAAGGGTCCCTGAGGTTGACTGACGTACGTCTGCATTGATCTGAGAACCACCAGAACCCTCAAGATGGTGTTCCAACAGAGCGCGCTCGTCTTCTGACATTCTGGACGGGGTTACTAGCGCCAATAAGCTGGTTCTTCCACCAGACCCCGCAAAGTCCACGCAGTCTGCGAACGCCCGAAAACCCGCGGGAAAAGGTATCATGATGCAAGCGATGCGACGCATGGCGTCTAGACATTCCATACACCTTCACATATCGCTATGCCGCGACTCTCGAGAAGGAAGTTCAGTTCGCTAGGCGGGATTGTCCGCGGCTACATATGCGAAAGTCTATAGATGCATTGCATGCGTGCGTGATTTTCGCTATTGGAACGCTTGCTTCGTTACGAAGGCAAGAGAGAGGGTACCGCTGCGGTTGCAAGTTCGCGATGAGTGATTATCTCGAAAGCTCGGTTCGAGCGACCATTGTTAATAAGCTGAGCTACCTCTCTGTTCTCGTGAACAATAGCTACAACAACTTTTGTTCTTTATTATCTGTTGGGGCGATGAAAACGGCTGACTAGCACTATCGTGAGGAAGTATGCACCCGCCCCCATTACGAAAACGAGTGAGCACACCCAGCTTACCCGCATCTGGTTCGCCAGAACGCCCACTGCACACCTCCCACTCTGGCGGTTCGTAAAGAAGCGTAAAAGGGAGGCTGTGCACTGGGCATTGGCATGCACAACACACACAAACAGCGGTTCTTTGTTTGTGCTGTGCAGCGGGCGCCGGATTGTGAACGCATCCGCAAGCAGCAGCTCGTAAGTGGGATGACATGCTCGTGGTCATGCTGCTGATTTAGCTTTCCTGACGGTGCAGTGCGATGCGCCTAGCTAACTGACTGACTTTGCCGCGCTTGGAGCTACGACAAGGTGGTTGCGCAACGACTGAGATGTTTAGCCTTGATAGCCGATGCCACCGAGGCCGCCCCGGCACATGCTCTTGTGCAGTGCGTAGCATTGCGAGTGATCACGTCGATTCAATCGCTGCCGCCGCGAGCGCCTGGCGTAGCGCTCTCGTCGCGCATCCCGTGAGACGACGTAGTGGTGTTACATCTGTCGCCGATCATCGACGCACCTCATCGTCCTTTGGTGCAGGACGACCCCAACGTGGGATCTTGACAGAGCATGCGCGTCCAAAAGGTTAATCACGGTTTTGCTGGGAGATAGCCTATCCCTGTCGACCGATCAGAGGAAACTTGGAAGGTCAGCGAAAATCTCTGCGCTCCACGCTTCGCATGCAGGGCGTCTCATCTGGCCGCTTGAGGAATACGTCGTGTGGGCGAGGCGGGAACCCTGAAAAAATTGGATTGGCAGAGACGCTAATTGGTGGAGGAGGATGAAAGCGAACCTTGCGGCCGTGCGGCACGCCCTGCAGGCTGCGACTCAAGGACGTCACTTTGCGATGCTTGAGGGGTCCGTCGGGATGCCTCAATTGACAATGCGAGTTCACGAAGCACATGGAGACGCAGAATCATTTTACTTTCTTATTTCATTGTGGGCCAGACGTCAGAACGCCAAAGGCTCCGTCTATACTTTTGCGAAACCCCCACGGGCAAACCGCCCAAGCATTGAAATCACCACCCAAATCCATCCCATTGTATATACGTATGCTTGCTTGTTCAACACTCAAATGCAACAAACAGTGATGGCGGCGATCTATGTAGAACGGCCTCAAACGCACATGAAGCGAATGGTTCGGGCCAGGTCATAAAATATACACAGGCGACCGATAGTCAAAAGGGTAGTCATGAAGACTAAAAGAAGATATGAATAGAGATCGCCTAGGCGTTGGTATCATCGCGCACCAGCAGCGTCATCAATCATGGCGTCATCAAAAGCGACAGTAGCTGCAAGAGCTGGCTGTCCCTTCGCAGGCGTCTAAAACCAACCGTTGTTGGTGTAAGATAGATCAAAATTGTTCATCGCGTTGAAAGCACCATTGGTCTGATCTATAGGCCATGGGTCCATGGGAACAACATCTTCGAAATTGCTAGGCATCGAGAGGGCGGCTGTGTCGGCAAAGTCAGGCGAGGCGGTACTCGTCATAGTTGCTGGCGCAGCAGTCATGCTCTTGGCGTAGATAGGATCGAAGCCAAGCATGTTCGGCATGGGTGCCGTAGTGGCCATTGGCATGGGCGCGTTGACGGATTCACTCGGTACGGCAGTGCTAAAGCGATACGCAGGGGTATCTTCCCAGAAGAGCGACTCGCTGGCAGCCGACTGAGGGGCTTTGAAGTCCAAGTCACCGAAGAGGGCTGGCTCTCCAATTTCCGAGTGCGCAGACGACGCTACAGTAAGGCCGGGACCGCTGAGTTTGGACTCTCCGCTGTGTGAGATCGGCTGCGCCAAGTCGTCGTTGAACTTGCTAGGGTCCAGCGGGAGATCAGTAGCAGACCAGACGTGGTCAAAGCCAGCAGATGCTGTCAACCAGTCGCTATCCATATTGGGGAGGCAATCTTGCGATGGCGAAGTGGACAGGCTGCCCAGACCGAACGTACTGTTCACGGGTGTTACACTGTTGGCTATCCATGGCCACTGGTTCGAGAACGTGTCGCTGACGTTGCTGTTGGGAGACTCGCCGTCTTGTTGAAAGACGCCGGGCTGACTGCTGAACATCTCGTTGAAACCGAATGTGTCGAGGCTACCGCCGACGTTGGGAGTCGGCGACTTGTCGGCACAGCGCTGTGTAGAGCCGAACATGGTGTGGAAGTCGTTGTTCGATAACGAGAGCGTGTCCATGGAGCGGGTAGCGGGCGGTTCAGGCTTGCTGCGAGTACTCTTCTCTTGCGAGAGAGCGGAGAAGGCGGCATGGCCGTGTAGCGTATGCGGACGAGGAATCTTGTACGGAAGGCCAGAGACGTGGGCCGAGTTGTTGTTGCGATGGCAAGGCTTGTGGTGGCCGTTCGCGAAGACGGTCAAGTGGCTCTCCGAGTGCGTCGCAGTCAACTTGGGTTTCGCGCGAGCATCGTGGAGCGTCTGCCGGGTAGTGTCGATCTTGAGATCGATCTCTTCCTTCTTTGTGCCACACAAGCACTTGCCGCCGGAGTGGCACTGGCAGCGGTTGTCATGAGCTAGAGTAATGTCAGAGATGTCGGCGACGGCCAAGCCAGATGTGAGCTCACTCTTCGCGTCGCCTTTGTCTTTGTGCAAGTCCTTGTCCTTCTTGTCGCCACAATCACACTTGGCGTGATGAGACTTGGACTTGCGCGCACCGCGACAGTGCTCGCATTGCTTGACAGGACGACCCTTGGGGTTGATGTGGTGGAGATCCCGATCTTCAAGACGAAATTAGCACTGTAAGGTCGTGAAGCGTCGCACTGAGCGACATACCAGTGTGGTTGCAACCGCTCACACGGTGGCCCTTGATGCAGGACGAGCAAGCCCATTTCTCGCCATCGATAACAGGCATACCGGGGCGATAACGGCCGAGTGCGGTCGTCGCAGCTGGCTACGAGCAGCTGGGTAGGAGCGGTCCAGGGAGCCAACTGGCTAGAAGCGGCGAAAAATGACGAAATAATGCCACACGCGCGGTGTGAGCGTCTGGGTAAAGATACAGGGAAGAATAGTAGGATTCAAAAGAAGCTAGTTCAAACGCCAGAGGGTATCTTGGGCAATGGTATGGTATGCTGACTTGTAACCGTGAACGCCGGGGAATGAGACCGAGGACGACAGGATGGAGTGGAGAGTGGAGTGGGAGATCAAAGGGGAACCGAGCGCAAGAGGCGCTGGCCGAAAGCGTTAGACGGAGCTCCTTGGGAACGACCAGACCAGTATACTATGTGGTGTTGTGCGGGTGAGGTAGTGATGAGAGGGAAGAGAGCGAGCGGGAGGAACAGGTTAAGAGGAACGCACACGGCCCTGCGCGGCGTGTAATTGGCTGTGGGGCTTAGCGTCATCGGCAAGTGCGCTCAGACCTCGACGCTCGAAGCAAGCGCGATCAGCCATCATGACGGCGGCTCCTTTGGGCTAGCGCGGGAATCCCACACTTGCATGCAAGTGCAAGCGCAGGTGCAGGTGCGAGCCAGCAGCACCTTCTCACCGCATGAATCCTGCCATCCGCCAGCCCGCCGCCGTCGCGATCCACACCGGACGCCTACGACGCCTGCGACGGAGCCTGCTCCTGTGCTGCGCTGGCCTCGCCAGCCCGCCTCTAATCATGCGGGACTCCACGCACGGCATGTTTCATTGCGGACGCGATTCGCTTGTCGAGTCAGCATGTTTCCCTTACCGCGACGGCCGTAACTCGAAGCATCCGTCGCCCGTTGCCAAGTGGAGATCATCACTATTGTCTGCGTCGATAGCGTCCAGCACATATAGAACCGGAAGCAAGCCTATCCATTACTCTCAGGTACAGTGCCCGCTTGTATATCTCACATGAATCCTCCGGCCCAGGGAGCGCTAGCCCGTCGACTCGAATTTGATCTTTTGTGGGACAAATGGAATTTAGATCCAACAGAGCGTCTAGCCCTTGGGACCACTGGGCACAGCGTTGGCATAATGTTTTTGAAACGGGACCCCATGGCTTCTCCGTGGGGTATACTCTGTCGGTGTATTGCACCGCTCTTATACGGGAGATCCTGGTGATCTTACGCTTGACGCTGCAGCCAGCCGTCAAGTCGTTGATCGTCTCGTGGAACTCTGGTAGCGCTAATCTACGAGAGCCGGAGTAATTACAGCATCTGACATTGAACGACTTCGGATTCGGTATGCACTGGCCTTGTACATAATCGTGACCCGTGAACAGGTGTACGTATATCATATGATACGGTGATTCTCCAGACCGCGTACCCACCAATGGCTCGAAATTGTTGAACGTCTTGCTCAACGTGTCCAAGTGCACCGGGCACTTTTTATGGCGAGCTCATTGTAGTGTGTGGTAACCCAAGTAAGTCGGCACTAAAACCATCATCTGAACACCAATGGATCAGCGCATGATAGACAGGACGAGGTCAATATCGCGCAGCAGCAGTACAGTGGCAGCAGAAAAATATGGCTAATTCAGCAGTCTCTTGACGTCCATAATGCTATTCATCATCGGTTGCAGTGTGCGGGCATTTCTGATGATGGCTGTGCATGGTGCTCCCACTGGCCGCCCGGAGCGCGTACGGTGAAAAGATAATCCAACAGCGACGTCGTCACCGACCAGTTAGTAGCTTCCGATCCACGCTGCAAGCAGATAACATCTCCCATGTCTTAGGAAAACGACAACCACCATAATGTTGTTGTCACTCTCCCATTCATCCAAGGCCATGAGGACCTGTTCTCTCTTGCCATGGTTCACGCTAGCGCAAAAATCGCAAAGCTCGCACAACTCTCCTCGGCGGCCTCTTACACAACACGCTCCTCTCGCTTTCCAACACCAGAACCTCGCGCGCGATCGCGCAACAATACCGGACCGGTGCCCTGGATAACTCTCCACGACATTTCTACTCGCAATCTCGAATACGACGCGCTGAAAAATGGCTGGCTACGGAGACTCGGATACGCAAATGGGAGGAGGGCCAGGCCAATACGCGAACCAGAATGGCACACCACCGGCGCAGCAACACCAGTTGACTGATCCCGAATTGCGCCTTCAGGAGAACCTACAGCAGCTGCGCGACGGTGGAGACATGATGCATCCAGTCGGTCCCCAGCAGCCTCAGTACCAGCAGATGGCTCATATGGGACCTGCCATGGGCGCGCATCCGCATTTTGCAGGTCCAACGCGCCCGACGCATTCTCCACAGCAAATGGCGCAACATGTCATGAATATGGACGGACATCACGACCCGTACGATCCCAACGACCCGAATCGCAAACGCTCCAAAGTCTCACGCGCCTGCGACGAATGCCGAAGGAAGAAGGTATGCGATGCCTCCAATCCTGCACAACATGCGCTTACGCTGGGTAGATACGATGCGACGCGACCAGCGAGAACGGCCCAGAAGCCTGCTCTAGTTGCAAACGGACTGGCGCCCGCTGTCAGTTCAGTCGTCAGCCTATGAAGCGCGGCCCAAGCAAAGGGTATGTGGATTGTGTGCAGTTTGGCGAGTCTGCTAACAATTTCCAGCTACATCAAAGAACTTGCGGACCGCCTTAATTCGCTCGAAAGCCAGATTCACCATCCTCCGGCGCAGTCGCATAACTTCGATTTCGGAACGTTGGGCGATCAGCCGTTTCCCGATACTCAGAGCCCACCGCAGTTCAAGCGTCAGCGCACTCACTCCATGACAGACGGGTTCCACGAGGCTTTCAGCCGGCCCAACTGGTCCGCACAGGATCGCGGTAATGGTGGATCTGTGGACGCACATGGTCTGCCTGTATTAGGTGATCAAGACTCGTCGCTCAATGGCAACCGTCGTACCTCTTTTGGAGAAATGAGTTTGGGCGGGAGTCTTATCACAGGCTCTCATGAAGAGATTCTCAAAGCGTACGTATACCCGCACATGTGCATTTTGCCAGACACTAAACCATATCTCAGGTATTACAACATCATTCATCCCACGTTGCCTGTTCTGCCACATCACGAGTCACAACTAAACCGCCTTACAAACTGTCCGTCGAAGCTGCGAGAGACGTTCTTCCTCGTACTAGAAGGATGTATCCGGTCCATCGCCTCGAAGGCTCTGCCACCTATCGATATCAGTCTTAATCAGCTGTTACAACAGTGCTTTACTTCAGTCGACGCGGCAAACTATTGTCTTCATGACACGGATAGCTCACGACGGTTCTATAACCACTTGGTGTACTGCCAGTCACTAATTCTGCTTGCCGCAGCATCTGACAGGCCTGGCCCAAGCATTATAGGTAGTACTACTGGACTGCTCGCCCGTGTCTCAGCGTGCATTGCAGATGTCGGAATAAATGATGCCAGAACTTTGGCTGGACTGAAAGAACAAGATCTCGAAGTGTATCAGACAGCTCGCCGCGTATATTGGACTGCGTTGATCATAGACCGTTTCCACGCGTCTAGTCAATCGACGGACATGATGATTCGACGATACTCTGGAACACTTTCGCGAGACGATTACTCAGCCCTGGGTGAAGTCGCTTATTATCTCGCTCGTAAGTGCAAGCTCTTTCCATTGATGACTATCCGAGACTAATCTTCATCAGGTGTTGCCCTACTTGTTGGCCGCATAGCCTACGTCAATCGCGCAGGCAGTATCCCAAACGTAGATCCAGCAGCTCCATTCGCCTTTTCCGCGCTCAAACCCGGAACCACAGAGTCAGAGTACCTCAACGGAGCACTAGATGAAATCAAGCAGTCCATCGACCTGACCACCTTGACGAGTAACTCGCCCCCTCATCTGGCGCACCAGTATCTCAGAGTGTTCATCGCACGACTTTCAGGGCAGAATTTGCCATCAGCCGAGGTTCTCGAAGTCACCAAAGACTTGCTCAGCAACCTCATGAGCGGCGCCATCACTCCCTTGCACCACATCTTCGCCGCTCTAGTCGCCACATCCCTCACCGAACTAAACGACCGAGGCGAAATGAAACCAGAAGCAAGTGCAACCATCAAAGAGATGAGCGACGCTTTATCAAACGGCCAAATCATCCACCGCAGCTCCGACGGTCTGGGCTGGGAAACCGCAATCGGCGATCTCCTCCACAAGAAGAAGTCTTCCACACCTCCCTACACGGGTCCTGAGCAGGCCAGCCCCGCGCTAGAACCCAACATGGCCGGCCTGCAACATCTCGCTGCTGCCGCAGTGGGAGAACGGGAAGGAACGGGTGATAATAATCGGCCTGGTAGTTCTTCTCAGCAGAAGGTTGATAATGATCTTTCTGCTGCTATGGCGGCGGCGAATGAGGCGGCTAAGGCGCAGGCGACTGCTGTTGCGGCTCAGGATCTTTTTCATTAGATGTGGTGAGCGTGGTTGTGCGTGAGCGATGCTTGTCTTCTTTTTTGTAGTGGATATACCCCCGTTTAGCTTTGAGCTGGTATGATGGTCTGAAATGTAGGCTTGTATCATTTTGTAATGAGATTCGTTTGTCTACTTGCTCTGTTGAACCCAGGAATTGTGAGATGTTATGCCCCCATCATTACTACATCTCGGGGGGACACGCAGTGTTCCGCCTTATTCGTCTACAGCATCATTATCGACCTCATCAACCGATCCGCTTTCGTCTTCTTCGATCAAACCGTTCTCGCCTTCATCAACCATGATGACACCCATTTCTCGCCTACCCGCAGCATGTGCAGCCTCGTCCTCTTGCTTCAGTCGTTCCAGTACGATGTTGACCTCCGGTACTAGTACATCGTCGACAAAAGATAATAGATCGCCGTCATGCGAGTCGTACCGTGCGTCAAAGAGTAGTACCAAGTCTTCTAGGAGACGTGCGAGATAGGCGTCTTCTTCTTGGATGCGGCGCAACTCGTCTGGGGAGTATCGCGGTTGAGGCGTACGCTGAAGGTCAGGTTCGGCCACTTCGATGAGTGAGCCCATGAACTGACAGAGATCGCAGCAAGTGTGCCGAATGCCTAGCCAGGAAAAGATACATAGCCTGATGAAGTTGGTGATTATCCACCTATTCGCCGCATCCTTTGCCGCCTCTGCTACGCATTGCAAAAACTTGCGACACTTTTGATACCAATCTTGAGTGTTAACATGAACGCGCTGTAACCTTAGTAGACCCAATATCCCTCCCGGTATCATAATTCTTGTGCACAAGTACGGGGAGCTGGTAGTATTGAAGAAAGAAACAATGCTAGTACAGCCGTGTGTACTACAGCTGCATTCGCAATCGTCTGTGACCGCGTGTCGGAATGTGTTTGCAATTATATCGCAAAGATCGTCCAAAACCGCTAATTCACTGACTAGCATGAAGTGGGATACTTTTGCGCTAAGATAATGTAATGCGGTGATCTTTGACTCCGGCCAGCAATCGGTGATGTCCGCCCCTTTGCCTAGGAACCAGTCTATCATTTTGAAAAACTCGGGCATTTTCCCAAGACAAGTAAGATGTTTCGCCCAGGATGCGATTCCGAGGTGCAATGGCGAGCAAGCCACACCGTGGCAGCATTCTTTGTCTACTATAGCAACATCCTTGAAGCCAGCGTCGTACAGGAATTGTAAGATCTCCAACGTAGAATTTGGCAAAAATTTGGAATCGGCTTGTAGAAATACGTTATAGATCGCAGGGACGTTGTATATGTTGACTGAAGTCGGCCGAAGAGATGGCGGAATCTTGAGGCCTATTCTGTCAAGTGCATGCGTTGCACACGTGGCGTGGGCGTCAAGAACGCCTTTTGATCTTTCGACGCACTCGCATTCGATGCCAGATTTTTCTATCATCTGTAGAAGCTGGTGTCTCTGTTCGATCAGATGTGCGGCCACGATCTCCGCTATATCCACTTGAGAACCCGCCAATGCGTGTATAACGGCAAGTTCTAAACCTCCAATGTCTAGAAGACATTCTGCCGTAGCATTTTCGCGTACATCAAGCCAGAATTGCACCATATCTTGACTATGAGAGTCCACGGCCTCCAAGAGAAGTAAGGCACGCGACCATGCCGGAGGCGCACCTGATGTATAGCTCAAATGAGCATCGAGGAGGATCTGGCAGCCGCGTGTCCAGCCCATAAGAGTTGTCATATGATACAAGTTTGATGTCTCTCCTTTTTTCCACACTTGGTTAGAACTTTGCGTTTGAATCGCGCTCCTGAATTCCATTTCCGATCTTAGTAGCGCTGCCACAGTGGTGTCACTGAGGTCAAGAAAAGGATCTGGGAAACATGTGAACGAAGTTCCTACCCACGAACTATAATTTTGGTCAGAGTCAATAGCCGTGGATATTCTTAGGTCGTAACGCAGAAGATCGGACGCCAAGATCTTGAATCCAGATTTGGATGTGTGGTAGACGCGCGATTGTTGCAACAGGAGGTCCACGCATGTTCTGACCACATATGATTAGTCGTTTCGGGTTCCAGCATTGCGTCTTGCTTACCTTCCGCTGTCGTCAGTGTCCGATGCATCTGCGTAAGTCATGTAACTTAGAAGACGATCTAGAAACAATTGACAGGTTTTAACGCTTCTGGGGCTCATCATCATCGCCATTGTGTTGATACGTGCACAAAGGTACTGTCAGTATTTAGTAATGCCTCATGTAGTCAGAAGATGGGGGTAAAAAGCTCACGTGTAACAGTGTTTTCCCATCCTGCAAGCAGTCGTGAGGTGACGCTTGGCGTGTCTGAAATATCTTGTTCAGCTCCACAGGGTAGTCAAGGACTGGAAATGGATCAATGTTCCCCCGCATTATGGAATTGATCAGCTTGAATGCTGCTGAAGATTCTACAGTAACGATTCGACGGAACGAGAGGTTCGGCATGATCGAAAAAGTGCCACTTCCAATTGACAGTTGCATGAATAAACGGAGCTTTAGGCCAAGGACCAAGTAGCAAAGTATCATTCCAAATCCAATTGTCGTGTCATGGCCTCCAGTTGTCCAAAATTGGCAACTCGAATCGTGGTAGTACACTGCGTCCCGCGATACGACAAACGGTGACCGTGAGAATTGCTTCTTTTGTCGGCGCTTGCGGCATGTGCAGAAGGTGAAAGTCTTAGAATCCTCAATCCGTTTGGAGTGCATTGTTCTCATCCTCCGCTCAAGAGTTCGAAGACTCGTGGTCTCCTCTTCGAGGCTCACTGCAGACATGGGCAGTAGTGTATGGCAGAGCTCTTTATGTCGCGCCGTCGCGGGTGAACTCGGAAAGTGAACTCCGATTGGAGGATCCTGGGCAAGCAAATTATCATGCTGATCGACGAATGGCTGCATGAAACCTGACTGTCGTCGACTGGTGGCGAAATCTGTGCTTGACCTCCGGCTCAGCTCAAGAAAGTGACGAGTAGGGGGATTTCGAGCGCGTTGCTGCTGATCAAGAATCATTTGGGTATCCAGCGATAGTTGACCAAGCTGTCCTTGCACGGTCGCGAAGTTCCGTTGCCACTGATCCCTAGGAGCTGTTAGCTGACATGTCGTTGGCGCACCGGTGCAGCAATTACATCTCTAGTGCCTGTAATGCGATCTGCAGATTCTGTCGAATACTGCTCAAAGCATCTCTCCAGTACTTGATGTCGCTTTCTTTAAACGGATACGCCAGTCGCTTGATCACTTTCCGCGACTGCGTCGAAAACCTGCTAGAGTTCGTCGAAGGAGTATCATCCCCGACTTTCGACCTGATTGACTCTATGGAGAGTGCGCATTGCTGGATGATAGTTTTGACTAATGCGATAGGTGTGGTAGGGTCCATCCTGCTAGTGGCGGTCTCTAGATGCTCGAGGAGATCCACCAGTGTGTCCAATTCGCGGGTAATCTGTTCAGCCTTCTTTTTCGCATCTTTGACACCATTCGTATATTCGGAGAGTTTGTCGTACAACTGCAAGGAAAGCGATATGACACCAACGATGGTGCCGGCCACTTCGGCCATGGCGGGCGTACACAAAGATGGAAGGAGGGACGGAACGAAAGGCTGGAAAGTGGGCAGATGATAAGACTTTGTAAGAAGGCGCAGCACAGCAGTGCGCCTGCCGCAGATGGCGTCCACTCATCGGAGTCGGCAATGCGGGGATCAGCCCAGCCTTGCGACAATGTCAACCTTGCAGGCTTTCAGCCTGGCCTCAGCTACGTGTTCGCTTGATGAACCCGAGGGCGTTGGCGTAATTGATCCGCTTCGTTGAATGTCAACAGCTTGATCTTTAGGCAGATTGAAGTCACATACACGCGCTACAGCATCGGGTACATCGTTGAAGAGATTCATGCATTACCAACTCTTAACCCATCCCTAATAGGCCTTTAAGTCTAGCTACCTTCCCCAGGATAATACCCTTCAACCCTCCAGCACCCATAGTAGGCACCTCATCCACGCCCACAAAGCGCCTCACAAGCAAATTAAAGATATTGCCAAAGCCCAACGCCATAACCGTACTAGTCAAGATAATAACGTTATACGGCATACTGAAGTCCGGCGTTGGAAGAGGAAGAAGCAGCGAAGTAGTGCGCACATAGATACCCTTGTTATCTCCTGACTGCGGCGACAGAATACGGATAACAGCAGGTGCGACATCGAAGCCTCGATTCGCATCTGGCGGGTATTCCGTGTAGCGCAAGATCGCTTTCTCAAAGTCGTAAGTGAGTGTGAGGGTGGAGGCTGGTGGGATGACCATGCGTAGTTCGAGGTGGGTGCCGCGCTTGCGGTCGACGGCTGGACGGTAGTAGGTCTCTTTTATGGGGCTCTCATCCGTGGTGTCGACGTGGGCTTGGAGCGTGTGAAGGTATGGCTTCATGAACCAGGGTAGAGACTCTAAGTATACTATCTCGACAGCGTTGGTGGTGGACGGGTTCTTGATGACGGACTGGGTACTACCCCGTTCCTGACCGTGACCGTTTATGGATCTTGCCGCGAAGACTAGAGGATCGGGACGGACAAGACCGGTTTTCATTTTCTGCTCGGGTAGGACGAGGTCGAGGTCTTCGCCGACGGGGAGCTTGTAGCATCGGAGGGTGTCTGATGCCAGTCTAGACTCTGTGAACTCTCCTGTTGTCTTGACCTCGAGCTCGCGCTCCGGTGGCAAGTTGATGCAAACGTTATTCGCCTCTCCCTCAGCCTGATCTGCCAGCGGACAGGCCCCCCTGAGCGGTCTGCCGAAGACCTCCTCCAGTGTCCACGCGGGCTCGGTGCCCTTGTTCAGGGGATAGCAGGTATCGTGCCCGTTGTATGGCTTGGAGGTGTCGCATTCCATCTGGTTGATTGGTAGAGGTCGCGGGATAGGGTTGTCTCTGGGTCGCTTGGCTCGCGCAATGTCCAAGACCATGTCTACGCTTTGCTCCATCTCTATTGAGCAGCTTGAGCTACCCTCTTCGCACGTCGGGCGTACATCGATGGCCATGGTTTGGAATGAAGCGTCGAATAACTTGTGTCCGTCCAGTAGGCTGGATACACCGGCTTTACCCTTACAGGGTAGTAGCTTGAGAAAAGGTGTAAGGTTCTCCGTGCAGACGACTTCGTGGGGTAGCGTACCGTGGAGGAGGTGGAGGTTGGACGAATTACGGTGCTGACCTTCGGGGTCAAATGACATGACGGGCCGTATGGTTTTGGTGGCATCGATGAAGTTGATCGAGGCACAAAAGAGCCCTGACAGGGCGTTGGTAAGCTTTAGCCATCGTGCAAATGCTCTGCTATGATCAGCGTGAATCCTTCCTGTCATCCATAGAGAACGTACTCCTCCTCAGTATCAGCCTCTACCCAAGCCCACAACTCAACGCCAGTCCCTCCTTCTCTTGCGCCGTTCCAAGGCCGCTGTCCCCAATTCTCGGCATCCCATCTTCCAACACTGAACCTCAAATGTAATTCCCTCGTATGCGCATGTTGCAGAATCTGTCCAAAAGATCGCGGGAAGTATCGGAAGTTCTGTTGTTCGAATGCAGTCGCGCTTTCGTTGCTCCGGAAGTTGAAAGAGGCCAGAAGGGTGTTCTGGGGAAGGGGTCGCAGGAGGAGGCGCTCGCTGTAGTCGGCGCCCGCAGAGACGAAAGCGATCAAGGCATTGAGCAACACAAAGTAAAAAGACGAGAGCATCGCAGCATCGTAGCGCTTTCTACGCGAAATGTGAGCGGGAAGACTGACGATAGGCCCTTGGTGTTGGGGTTGCGGCGGACATGTGGAGTGAAGGCGCCCCACCGGTGATTGGTCACCCGGCCTGGATACTTGGCACTGCCGCGGTCGCGATTTCTTTTGGCTGTCACTCACCTTGCAGCTCTCCACATCACGACCCAACCGCGCATCCCTAATAAATACACATCATGGCCGCCGCAGAGACGCGCAGGCTGCTTGGTAGGTTCCCTCGAATCAGTATTACTAATACGACACCATGCTAACGCGACACAGAGCAGCTTATGGGCGAACAGCTCATGAGCGGAACCGACCAGCGCGCGCCCCAGCTAAACATCAACGACACCAAGGTCTGTCGCTCCTACCTCGTAGGCAACTGCCCCCACGACCTCTTCACCAACACCAAGAACGAACTGGGTCCCTGTTCCAAGGTGCACAACGAGGCGCTCCGGACCGAGTACCAGGAGGCAGACGCGGAACAGAAGCGCAAATGGGGATTCGAGTTTGACTACATGCGCGACATGCAGCATCACATTGACAGCTGTAATCGCAAGATAGACACTGCCCAGCGCCGCCTGGAGAAGACGCCTGAAGAGATCAGGCAGACCAACGCTCTTGTAAGTATCCCGGCCAGGGGACCTGCACTATCTGCTCACGCGCCACAGCTCAAAGCGATCAACGAACTGACCAAATCGATCGACGCCGGTATGCTCGAGATCCAAATCATGGGCGAGGAAGGCATGGTCAACATGGCCGTCCAAGAGTTCACCAAGGTCCGTTACAAGAAAGCTGAGAAGGAGGAGCGCGAGAGGGAGCTGCGTGCTCTGTCAGACACCGGAGGTCCGTCTGGTCACCAGAAGCTTCAAGTGTGCGACGTATGTGGTGCGTATCTCAGCCGTCTTGACAATGATCGGCGTCTAGCAGACCACTTTTACGGAAAGATGCATCTCGGCTACGCTCAAATGCGCAAGTCCTACGAAGCCCTGACCAAGGAGCTCAAGGACCGCCAGCCACCCCGCAATTCCTACGCTCCCTCCGGCGGCGACATGGACCGAGGCGGCGGTGGAGGTTGGGGAGGAGGTGGTGGTGGATACGGCGGCGGTGGCTTCCGTGGTGGACGAGGAGGTCGTCGCGGAGGCAGAAGAGGCGCTTGGTAAATATCCCCGGAATTTGGCGTTAAGGTGTGTCTATGCGATTCCCAAAAGGTTCGGCTTACAGCAGTATTGATGCGAAGACTACCGCGACTCGGCGGTACTTGTACAACAAATGGCGACTATGGAGGCCCTTTCGGGCGTATGAGCTTGAGACAGTCCAATCAGAACATGTACGCTTTTCTCCAACATGCACCTGACATGCTTCTAACCACCGTCAAGGAATTTCTGTGCCATCGCTGGCCAGTTGGGGGATATGGGATCTTCCCGCCTGTTATACACTGTCGCAGGTGAGTTGCGCTTTCGGTGGCATGTTTCTGCAATGTGACACGCAACATTTGGCCCTGGTCATGACATGTCTGATATGAACCGCTTATTCATTTCGTAAACTCACACCATAAGCCCGACTTTCCGGCCTATACGCATTTCGAGGTAAGTCGTAGAAGCATCGAATATACCCACTTGCTCTATGGTCAGCCGCATTCGTACCATGAGAAATTCGCGGATCTCGACATATCTCTGCATGCTCGTTGTCATGACCTTGGCCAGCTCGAATCTGGCCTCTTCGCATATATGTGGCTCGCTCAGCTCTTGATTGATTAGTATGTCAAATTGGGGTTTCGGTCATCCACAACGGATAAGTCGACGATTGCACGAGACAAACGATGTGTATATACACCAATGCATTCCTCTAGAGTTCTATATACAGTCCAAGGGGGTATTCGCTAGCCACCGTGGCTTAATGGGTATCGTTATTTGCGGGCATTCGCCCAACATCCTGTGCTCTCTTCAGAACATGTACTCGCGCCAAAGAAAAGCGCAATCCACACATCATCTTCCCCATCAACGTCTAAGCAGTGCCGTAGTTCCTGAAGTTCTCGCAGGGCAGATAGTTGTTCTCGATGAACGCCGAGCTAAACCTGATGCCATACGCGCACTCAAACTCCTGCTCGCTTTCAAGTGGGAAACCACTGACTTTGACGGTGCCCTTGACAGTCTCGATTTTGTTGGGACTTGTCGTCAAGCTGGTGTTGAAGAGACGGATCATGTTATCGCATTGCTTGCCGTCGCCGAACATGACCTGGTTGGTGACGTTCATGAAGAAACCCAGCGGGTACTTCTCTTCCGACGTGAGTGACAGCCGCGTGCTAATGGATGCGGCGCCAGCCTCAGCGCTCGTCGCCTCGAACGACGTCGTTCCAGGCTCCTTAGCGTCGGGAACCGCGCTGTACGCATCGCAAGCAGGCTCGAACAACGACGGGTAAGTCTTGATCCCGTAGTCCGCAGCACCCTTAAGAGCGATGACATTTTCAGCCGACATAACAAGCGAAGGCGTCCACTTGAAGGACGTGGCATTGTCGCCGAGGAGATCGAGGAATGGGAATTCGATGCCACCACGCTAGTCAAAGTTAGCACTACTACCGCGGATCACGATCTAAGGTTAGGCGCATTATCGTACCGAGAAGTCGGGTATTTGAAAGCCGAAAGCTTGTACGCCGTGGTCGTGGACTGCCTGGAGAAGGGCTGGGTACATTCCTTCCGGGAAGTCAGGGAGGAGATGGCGGTATGCGTGCTCCAGAATGCGGTATTGCGAGGGGATGAGACTGCGTGCGAGATCCAGTGAAATTGGTAGAACTGAGATTGTGCCGTTCAACGTTCCTGTCGCATTTGTTGGGTACTGTGACGCAATGGGGTTTGGCTGGTCAACCGTCTGGCAGACAGCCTGCTCGACAGCTTGTTGGATTTCATGGAGGACCGGAACCTGAGGACTCGCGTTCGTAGTACTCGCATAGCGAATAGCGAGCAGCGAAAGAAAGCTGAGGAGAAAGTACTGCCATTTCGAAATCGGAGCCGCCATCTTTGGTCGTTGTATCGAGAGGAAAGCGAGTACAGGATGGCACAAAAGCGCAAGGTCCAAACAGGTGCTTATCATGGTTGCTGAGATTGACCTCCGGGCCGACTTGACAAACACTAGACGGTCGAAGAGCTGATCATGTGAAAAGGTTGGTAGTACAGCAAAAGGCGCCAGCCCATTTGGCGTAATGAAGGACTTTTTTCAGCTACATAAAGGTAGTCTATACACACCGGCAACGCATGAATCCGCGCCACTAAAAGGGCGCCGCAAGGGTATCGAGTACTGGAACACAGATACCCGCAGCTGAGCGGGACGACTGACGCCGGGTGAATCAGGTACGTACCTGACCGCAACACTGTCTGCGCGAAAGCAACGGTGCTTTGGGCTGCTTGAACGGGCCAAGGCCAGAGTCAAAACGTGACTAGTGCCATGGAAGAGACAGTTTCCGAGACGCTGATCTGTCAGGTGGAGGCATGCTGCCGATGGGCTAGGGTAAGCCCTTGCGCATCGAAATGCTTAGGCCCGACTGCACTTGCTGGTTGAGTGCGCCCGCGCGTTGGGAGGGCGTGTATTGTTGCCGTTGGAATGGCGGGTGGTGCAGTGCGTGTGTCAAGGAGACAAGGTCGGAGTTTCATCGGCTTCGAGATGCTTGCGGGGCCGAGCGCGCACGTGCTTGCTAGGCTGGGTTCCGACTGGCGTGCGCAATGTATTCTCCGGTTCAAATCACTCTTTCCACCACGTTTCTGGCAATGTCTTCTTCCAAAGTTCTGAAGCACGCGTCGCATATATCGGTACGGCTTATTGCTCGCGCCGCAGATGAAGCAGTCGCGATGCCTTCTCGTTGACAGAGCAGTAACTAACGACATGCGAGAAGACTGTTCGCCAAACATCGTCCAGTCGCACGTTATCCGTACCCATCACCACTCTATACGGAACCTAAATCCATGGAACCCTTGCGCTGCATACGGTAGCGTTGTGGCGTTGCCTATGGCCCGTGAAACGGCGCGGACAAAGTTACAATCACAATCCTCCGGTGCTAAAGAATTCCCATATCCGGATCCACGGTCGGCCTCAATTACACTAAGGTAGCGTGCTACTCATTTCAAATTCAACCAGTTAGATCAAGACGACACACCTACGCAGCATTGAGATGTTGATTACTATAAGATTATACTAGCTATTGTCTCAAGAACCGATGCGTATACAAAATATCACACACTTCCGTGTCGGCCCCGCAAATACTGCTCTACCGTTGCATCGTCCATCTTGTCGATCTCAGCTGCCATCGACTTGTTTGCTGGCTGCTCCGAACTACTTCGGCTTGAAGGTTCAGAATCAGACGAGGAGGATGATGAGTTGCCGAAGCCCAAAGCCGCGTATACAGCCACCACTGAGTTTGCAAGGTTTGTCGCAGCACTCGTTGCTTGGCCGATGTAACTCTGATCCCCTTGTGTCTCGCCATCGACTTGAGCGGCTGTTCCAGACGCTGAACCTTCTTGACGGGTAGATTTTGCAGAAGATGGCGTACTATCGTTTTGTACGGGGCGAGGTGCAGGTTGCGAAGCCCGTCTTTCGGCCTCCTCAGCAGCGCAAACTTTCGTCAACTCCTCATGACCCGTCCGAGGAGGAGGTTGTGAAGCTCGTCTTTCAGCTTCTTCAGCAGCACGTACTCTCGTCAGCTCATCGTGGCCTGTCCGCTCTGGTTTCGGCTGATTGTCCACAGCCACAGCTGGCGGCACACTCTCCCTCCTCTTCTCTTTCTCTAACGTATCATCCAATTCTTTTCCAAACAGCAACTTGAAGAAAACCACAAGAAGTACCTCCTCCGTCTTCCGATTCCGAAGTACATATCTTAGATGATGCGTCTTCTCATCCACGTACTTGGCCACACTGATCGAGAATCCGGGGAGCCTCAACGAAAAGTTCGCAAAGTCAAGATGTGGGTTGAAGAAATCGGCATGGTACATGCGGCCCTTCTCGAACGTAAAGGCTGAGAGGGCTTGTTCATCGAGGTAATACTTCCGCCGCTTCTTCCATTTCGAAGGCATGGACGACGCTTTGCGCGCTTCTTTGCCACTCCCCGATGCACCTTCTTCGATCACATCATCACTTTCTTGGGTCAGACTTGAGATTTGGTCTTGTGCGGACACATCGTTCGTCCGATCTCCTATTCGGAAGGCAAAGAAACTTGATAGCGCAGGTCCGTAGAGATACGGCTCGTCAGAGTATGCATCTGAGTAAAGCCCGGGATCCAGCATACTCGTGGCGATCTTCATTGCGTACCTGAAACCTGGTGGAAGCTGGTGCTTGATCGAATGGCCGTAATCGAAGCCCATGACAAGATCGGAGCCAGGCATGTCATGCTTGGGAACGAATGAGTAGGCGATGGAGTATCTATCAGAGGTATGCTGTGGGTGATCAAAATAAGACGATGAAGCTGGCGAACCACGCGGTAGGCCGTGGTAGTCTTTGATTCGGACGCGTATCCATGCTTCAACTAGGTCACTCTCGACGTGTGTGGGCTCTGCGCCGTTGACTGATACCTGTTCGTGCTTTGAGGCATCGTAGGATGGTCCGGCCGTCACTAAAGATCATCAGCATTTCGTAAAATGATTCCAGTCCACTGCAACATACCTTGCAGGAGGTACTTGTCGCGTGCCTCTGGATCGACCACGTTGCCCGACATGCTGGTAGTAAAGTCCGACGATGAACTAGTGCAATAGCTATACTGGTCGATCGGGAAAGAAAGCCGGTCAAGTAGATCTGCCAGGTGGAGCGGCAGGTAAACTTATGTACCGTTGAATGCATCTTGTATTGAATGATCAGGCATCATCGTAGCTCATACATCAATCAAGCTCGAATGCGCGGCCCAGCGTTGGTGACGACCAAACGGTTCCACGAGTCCATGACGTTATGATCAGCCTTTGTCCAATCAGAAGATGTGGCTAAGCCGCTTGCGTGGCTGCTTCGTCCTTCGTTGTCAGCGAGCATCACGAACATCAAGAGCGAAGGTCGATGCGATAGCAATCAGTCACGATTCATACTACCTAGGTGCATACAACTTCAGGCCTGTGCAAGGAGCAGCTTACTCTTCTCTGCCAAGCTTTGTGCCAGCTGCGTCATCGGGATGTTCTGCAGAACATCGAACACG